TTGGGCTAGTTATTAGGATTCTAGCATTCTGCTTCGCTACTTTGTACTACGTGAATGAGGTCAGCCCCGGTCAGGTCAGTCTTTGTATCTAAGTCGTCCCTGCACTATTGAGCACCATTTTGTATGTATGAGAATGCACATTGTCTGTTGAGATTCTACTCACACCGCATTGTCCATTAAGTCCTTTTCATCACATTGCAGATCCTTGGTTATTACGTACATTGCATATTTGTGCATGTAACATTGGTCTGTGTAGAAAATATCAGGTTATTCACGACCATCAGACAAACTCAACACAAAGATCTCACAAATGTTGTTCATCGTGCTCTAAGCTTGAAACTGCACTGGTCACAACTTATCGCTGAGTAGCCCTTGAGCAGATAGATGACCCAGATCATACAGGTTCTGGGTCCGAGGAATGTTGAGTACAATGTTGACTGAGTAGTGTGGAATGAGCTTCTCTTGTCAGTCCCAGCGTAGTGGTTATCCAGTGATGGGACAATCAGGCGTTGTTCCAATCAGAGGGCTGGTTGGCTCACGACTGAATAATCTGACATGATCCCAGTCACGGAGTCCCACTAGACTGAGGACGTGCCTTAACTTGTGTATTTTTCCCACATTCTTATTCTACCTGACTCAACATTGGCACTCCTTCAGTCAGACGCATAACGTGAAGTCTGACTTTTCGAAGAATGTTATAACGCTACTCACTCAAAATCACCCAAAGATGTCACGCATTACACATATCACTTTCGTACACCTCTTTAATCTGCGAAGGAACACATTTTTCAATCACTTACCCGTTGTCCTTTACTCATATAGACTAACCAGAGGCAAGACCTGATCAACGACAGACCTCGGTGAAAGGGTGGCTAGTCTCCGTCAAGCAAGTACTTGGCCAACCGGTAAGCAACTTTCCTTAGCGTCTCTCTCCGTTTGTTCATCGAACAAAGACACAAAGGAGAAAACACCAAGAAGAGAGGTTGCCAAAGAGTACATCCAACTCGGTCCGACAGTCACGAGGGGTTTACATCGAGACTTTGTGGCCAGAAAACCATAAGACGGATTCTCAAGCGAGGTCGTTGAATCTCTCTAACATAGCAAGAAGGAGAAGAGCACTTGACAAGGTGCAAAATGAGGGAATAATAATCAGCACCTACACACGAGAGGAGATCTATATAAGGTTAAAGCCAGCCCAACGGATCTCACTCTCGTCTCATATGTTACTGATGTTGCCAACGACAACTCACCGTTTCCTCTTCAACATTTTAGCGATTGTAGGAATAATTATTAATACTTTACCGAAAATGCTTAGTCATGGCCACTAATTAACGACTCCATCAATCCCTGAAGACGACAGTCATGCATACTTAACTATTACTTGGCCTCGCTCCTTCAGTTCCTCTGCTAACACTCAGTCGTAACATCCCTCCATTAATAATGGTGATTGGTGCATACAACTCGTACCAACTTCCGTAAGGTACCTTGTTTATTCAATTCCTCAGCCTGGCTTCGATCAACGAACTCACTAATCGATGGTCATTTCACCCCATTCGTAACCCCTGGACAACACTTGATGGTCAATGACCCTCCATACTGTGAAGTCGGACTGAGGTTTGACTGTACTCAGTGGAGATGACGATGAATAGCGACCCCACACAGATCCGTACAACGCTCAGAGTACGAGCAAACTCAGAGTTCACTCAAGAGGCTTCATACTTGCCACTTGCAAAAGGAGAAGAAAAACGATTAATGTTGAATGGAGACCGAAGAGTAGAGATTGACCAACGTCAAGGTTGAGTCACACCAGGCTGGGGAGCAGACAGAGTCAAGAAAGGGCGCTTATCGAGCCTCCTCTCCTCAGCGCTATTCGCAAAAGAAAGTTCTCCTTTTACTAACCACAGAACACCGCTCGTGTTTGCTCTGAGCACGCCCAATTCTCTGCTCTCAGTTTCATTGCTACCACGAGTAAAACCTTCTTACCAACAAGATCAAGAGCCCGCATGCGCACCATTCTCCACACTCCATTAACAGGATCACTCCCTTGCGTATCGACTCTCTCCGCCTTTGCGGTGCCCCTCTAGACAGGTTACTGTTCAGTGTCGTCTGGAAGGCTTAGACAGTAATCGCGAGATAAAATCCTCTTGAGGGCTAAGTTTAATAAGCCTATTCGCGTTCTCGAAAGTAGTTACTCAGACAGGAGGAGAGGTGCCAACTCTAAAAGGTCTTTACAATCTCTCTCGTCCCATGATGATCAGTGGCGACTACTACACAAAGCGTCATGATTTCCAGAGTCGAAAGACATCACCCGCTGCACACAGAGGTAGTATCTTGCCCGCGCCTTAGACTCAACTGCTCTACAGAAGGTGGAGGGCGACACAACTCACCAGGACTAATTACAGTGATAAGGCGGGAACTGTCAGTACGAGCAGTGAGTCTTCACGTTAACTTGGACCTGCAATCAGATCCCAGCAAGGTTACCTTTTGCTTTGTCACATGTTGTTCCTGCAAGAAGTTCCGCCTCACCCACCATCTGACGTTTCGGTCACTCGCTCACGATCACCTTCGCA